ATTGCATAAGAATTCCTAATTGAGGAATTGGGGGATAATTTAATATAAATGTTAAAGTTCCCTAAAACCTTTTAATCATAAAAATGTATCTATGAAGGAGAAAATGTGGAAAACCCTTACATATAATTATAAGGATGATATACACTAAGTCTAAAGTGAATGAAATGGGTATGACGTTTACAAAACCAATAAGAATATTTAAAGAATATTCATTGAAGATCATTGTAATGATGAAAACTGAATACCCAAAAAGTATGAAATCCACAAATAAAAGTGATTGACTAGTGTAATGATTTGATGGAAATCATCCAACGGTGTTTTGAAAATAAATGAGGCTTTAAATAAAACGAGTGAGAAGCATGTGGCTTCTTGGCGGTAACGAGTTTTATCTATCAAATGAATCGATCATTGGCTAGCTATATTTTGATAAGATGCTACGTCACATGAAATGAGAAGTATAGATATACAAGTCTTAGAGGTGACGTCACAAGGAAATTATCAAATATGGAAATAATTTACGAAGAGGATTTGGCAAGGATTTGGCAATTTTTAGTGACATCTACTTCGAGTAGGATGAGGTTGAAACTCTTAAACTATAAAGATCCACCAATGACGGCAACCCTACCTGTCATTGCTCAAAAGGTAATCCACAAGTTCAAAGGGTACTAACAAGTCATTCGACATGTGGATGGTTGCACCATTATATAAATCCGCGATAATCCTATCCTAATTAAAATAATGTTGGTTGTTACTGAAATGAAGGATGAGCCTTAAGCTCTTAATGAAATTCAGTGCTAAAACACAAGTACCTCTAAAAGTAACAAAGGTACTAGAAGAACTTCACCTAAACAATCTTCAAGGTGGTGTCGCCTTAATAGAAAGTTGGAGTTTCTCTCTTAAAAGATTATTGAAAGGGATAAGCGCAGGGCCATAATAACTCTAAGCGAGATATGAGGAACTTGAGAACACGTGGTACTTGTATATGTGTTCGAACCGGTATTGTCACATGGAATAATTGGTTCAAAGCTACGGCTCCATTTGATTCCGACTTTACTTTATTTGAATTACACTATGGTTAGATTCAACTATAGTTAGAGTCAAATCGAAAGATATCTAATCCTTATGCATATGTATCGTATACTTTGAATATGAGAGTTTATTGAATTTTGAACAAATGGGGGATTGATGGAAAATGAATAAATCAATAAACACAAGTGTGGAACAAAAGAGGAGATGGGAGCCAATACTTTGGCCTATGATACCGCATGGCCATGGCCAGAACCTTGGAGGCCGGCGTTAGCATAAACCATGCGACCGCATGACATTAAACTGTGCGGTCGCATGGTTGTAATTTAGTGACCGTTGGAGGTCGATTTTATATGAATTTTGGCGATTTTTTGGAGGAAACATTGCAACTATTCATAATGATTTGGCACCAATTCGTGAAATATTGATTCAAACCTATAAATAGGTGATGAGATCATCAATACAAATTATTGAAAGCAAAGTGCAACATATGAATCTTATTAACTTCATGCCACAAGAAAGAAAAATTCCTTTATTCTTTCATATTCATACATTCACTGTGTTGTTTTTATATTTTTCTATAACAAGGCTTGATTAATCCTACAAACCGTTTGCCATGAGACCCTTTAAAAACTAAAATTGTTACCGAGAGGGGGCAAATATCTTTGAGGACAACGATATAATGTCGTGTTTGAGCCTTTCATTTTCGGTTTGTTCTTTACGTGTTCTTCTCCATTTTACCGGTGTTGAAAATTTCCGGACACTTTGCTTGTGTCGTTATTGTTCGTGGTCTAATTTTTTCCTGGATCACATGTGTATGCGTTTATGCCTGGCGTGTTTCTTGTTGGCAGCTAATGAGAGCATTTTCTTTAGTTATACATTGTGTGTCAGATACGTGCAAGTTAAAATAATTAAAAAAAAAAAGAAGAAGATGTGGCTGATAGAACAAATATGCCACCATTTTCCAATACATTGTGTTCACGGTGAAAATCTACCAGCGAATCCACTAATATTAGGTTGGGCAGGCAGTTTCCGCCAGGTGGTTTGACTGTTCGCTGGAAGATGGGGTCGTGGGTGACTCTACTCTAAAGCTTAAGTTAGAAGTATACTTGCAAAGAAGAATTATCTGTCTTTGTTGCGTAAGGAAGTAGATTTGTGAACCAGTTATTTAGTTCTTTGTTCTTTTATTACTTGTTACCTTACTGGCTATTGGAGTGGAATTTACTCTGTATTAATAGGTGGATGGAAGGGAGTCGAGGAGTCCACATCCCTTTCCTTTGTTATGAGATGCGATCACCTTTTAAGAAAAGTGGGGGTTAGCTTCTTCTGCCTATAGGTTGACTGAGTACGTGATATTCAGATCATTCACCCAGCCTCCTTTAGGAATTTTTACGATAACTTGTGTTTAGCATCACATCTTGTTTGCCAAGTTTCTGTCCCATTCCATCGGAAGTTCCCTTCTCATGTCAAAGTTTCACATAGAAAAGGAATAAAAACTGGAAGACGAAAGATGAAGTATGACCTGTCTTAGCCCCACGTCTAAGAACTAGTAGGGGCCAAATAAACAAGTACTCCATAAGGGAGTTCTTAACTACAAAATTACACTTAAAATTCCTCAACATCCACTAAATTGATCTCTGTTGTAATCTAGGAAAACAATAGCCTTTCTTGACTCTCGCACTGTATCGAAACATGGTTTAAACTGAACAAAGACTTGCATAAAACTTGGCTTCTTGCACTCTTTTATCAAAGACACATCAATTTATTCTGCATTAGTCTAGTTAGAAGTCCTCAGGTGAAGTATTTGTCTTTATTGTGTACTGAAGCAGATTTAAGCAGTTATTGAGCTGTTTTGTTAATTTACTTCTAGGTTACCTCCCTTTATAGTTATAGGTGGGATGGAAGGGAGGCGTGTTGACCTATGGTTGATTTTATGTTTTGATTATAACAAACAAATTGCTTTTATCTCTAACAATTGAATTCGAGTTGTTATAGCTAATGTGGAAAAATTGATCAAATTGAAGACAAAAATGTCGCTATCGAAAGACTCGCAAATTGATGCCCAAATGTAAGCCGAGCATGGACGCCAAATCAATCAAGACAAGTACCTCACCAACGGCCAAACATCGAAGATATTAGACTTAGATATTTTGAATTTATATATAAAGATAAAACGCTTTGATTTTTAGCAATGAATCATTAAAAGCTCAAGATAAATCTTTATGGACGAGGAAAAATATTTCATAAGCATAAATTTTTTTTTTTTTCAAGAAGTGAGAATCTCAACTTGATATCTAAACTTCTCATTTATGTGACTCACCTTGAAAAATTAAGTGAAAAAAACCCTTCAAAAGACCACATTTTTCAAAACAATCAAAGAAGAAAAATTTGGGAAAAACTGTCCAAGCGAACGTCCGGTTCGTCCAGTGGTCAAATTTTTAACCGTTCTGAATTCTGACTCACAACAACTAGTTCTATGTCCGGTTCAGAAGCATATGTCCGGTTGGACAGAAACTTTTGCGATTCAATTGCTAAAAATATCTTCTTACTTTGCATTTATTTTAACATTTTTGAGTTTTGAGAGCATTACAGTGAGATACTCTTGAGGAAAATTATTATATTTTTTGTTTATATTTATCAAATCATTTATTTTGAAAAACTTTTAATTGAATTAACTTTTGAAAACTACTCATCTCATCAAAGTTTTAATTACCTAACATTTGAGTTTCATTCATTGCTAATTATTAAAGTGTTAGCCTATTTCTCTCTTGGTACTTAATTTTATCTATATCATTTATTAAGAGAGAAATTCAAATTGTAAACTTATTACTCATTGAATTTGTGGGTCATATAGAGGTTCCGCAGAACTCTATATTGTATGAGGATCGATGCTCTTTGATTGTAAGTCGTCAGAAGCGTTGTAAAGGGTTGAATTGCATAAGTCAATCAATTTAGTGAAAAAGGCATTGCTCGTCCCAGAGAGCTTAGTAATAGGGGACGAGATTATTGCTTTGGTTCGACCTCCATAAATATATCGTTTGCATCTTCTCTACCCTTTTACTTATCATTACCTTGATTATATTTATTATTTGATTGATTTACTTATCTTTACTTGCTTACGATAATAAATTGATCAATATACTTTTTCCTTACTTGATTGAAGTTTATTTTTCAAAAAAGTTTAAAAACAAATTCACCCCTCCTCTTGGTTAGCTATTCTTGGGTTATCAAGGCAAGCACGTCCACAGCCTGCCCCTTTGTATGGAGGGTGAATCGCCTTTTTGGAGTAGTGGGGGTTATTGAAGCTACTCATATTTTCTGCCTATGTGTTGGTCGATTGTGTCACATTGGGAATAAGTGCCCTTCCTCCATTTGGAATCATTTCCATAGGTCAATGACCATGAAGGACTCCAACTTAAAGTGGATCTTCGATATGCTCCTTTTGATAGCTTTTGATTGTATTGTCACCATGCTAATTGCCACATTCACCTTTTGTTGGCCCCTAACCTAGACATGTGGTTCTTTTAAGTCAGGAACTGGCCTGTGGCTTTCAGCTCGATAAGAGTACCGTAAGAAGCTTTTCAGAAACAACATTTATATTTGAAGAATAAAGGGCAAATGAGCTGAGTGTGCTATCTCAGAACTAATTGTTCTAGATGCTTACTATGTTTGGTTGCCTGCTACACTGTGTTCTTAAACTCTGTTAAGGTTAACTTGTTACCTGACAGGTAATTTCTTAACGATATAATATTGAGAACTTATATTTTAGTTAGTGCACTTCTTCAGTGTAATACTATCTTGTTGGCTTGTTACGTATTCCAATTATGCGACACTTATAGTACACTATTGACCACGTTTAGATATGTGTGATGAGCTATTTACTGTTTGAGTTTCAACTAATAGAGTCTCACATTAAAAATGAACTGCCTGCATCCAGAACTCATTGTACTTGTTCTTCTTCTTTCCTTTCTCAGGGAAATGAAAATGGAAGAGGAGAGAATTGAGGCTGAGAAGAAACGGGTAATAGGATATATTCTTAAGTATTCTGTAGTTGCTTTTAGAAATTAACCTGGTATTTTATCTTAGCGTCCAATGTTGGTTTAGTCAAAACTTATGTACCGGAGTGCTGGTTTGCACAAGTTACTTTGTGCTTCTAGTCTTACATTGCATTTTGTTGGCATCCATTATTCATTTTCATGAGAAGGCTCCTCAAAATATGTATTGATATCATGTCCTCAGCACTCGACTGCTTCCTTCTACTTTGACATGGGCTATATTTGTGTTCTATAATGTTAGTTGGCAATACTTCATCAAGGAGCATGCCATAGAACATTAGCTGGCTTGCAACTGATAAATGCACTCAATATTTCAATTTGGAGATTTTTTGCTACTTCTCTCGTGATTCATGCACGACTTTCAGAATCGAAGGTCATTTTTGTTGGTTTTCCCACCAAAGCTTAAAGGTGGATGATATTATTGCTCGCAACACGATTCTTGAAAATTTAAACGACTGATATGGATCTTGTGGTTTCCTCTTTGAAGAAACTATTATTATGTTCACTATAATTCCTTCTCATAGTTACTAATTGAACAAGCCAGGTTGTTGGTTCGAAATGTCTATAATCACTTATCTACGTAGATTTTTGTTGAGTGTAGAGGTATTGCCCTTTCTGTTAGTTCTTGAGTGACTAAAAACTTTTAAAAGGTAAATAATTTCTCAAGGATAAAAACTCAAATATATAATCTGGTCTTCAGGTAAAAGAAGAGGCACAACAGCTTGCTCTAATTTTTGAAACTGTTGGAGCTTTCAAGGTGAAGCGCAAGGGTGGGAAAGGAAAACAAATTTTTGGAAGGTGAGGAAAATGTGAACTCTGTTAAGCACTTAACTAATGTCTTTACATGTCTACTGATATATATCACATGGTCGCAGTGTCACTGCACAAGATCTTGTTGACATTATAAAGGCGCAGCTTCAGAGGTATTATTTTCCTTTTCATATCATGCAGTATACATATGACTACCAGGATTCCATGACTGTCTGAAATTTTAAGAAATCTGAAGCATTAAGTGATTTGCGCAATATGCATTGCTAATTTTGGGATTCTGTTAAATATATTATTTGGTATTGCAAACCAGTGAGCTTGTTCTTGTTCTTGTTCTAGTTCTACTATTCATTGAATTCTCAGATAAAGTGACAAAAATTCTTCATAAATCTTGTCAAGACACTGTTTCATGGCCCTTTCGATTTGTTTCCTAATAGGATCTAGTTTTTGCACTTACGGACTAGTTCCAAGATCCTGTGCATATGAACTTAGAAGCAGAAAAAATACATCAACTGTCTGCATTATAGAATTGATGGAGATATTGTCAGCTTAAGGATTTCATTATAGTGGCTGTGGATAAAGTTTATGTTAATCCATCTTATACTGCTTTGAATAGGAGATGTAGTGAAAACTTTTGAACAAAAGGCTAAGTTACTTAAACCAATAGTCCTTTTCTTAATAGTTAATTCATTAGGCAAAGGAAACTAAATTTAGAACTTTGTGAACTGGTTCGTTCTCATAATATGATTGATTTTCTTTTGAACATCTGAAAATTAATTAATCAAGCTGTTCATTTTATTAGTTCCTGCATGACTGCATTAATTTTGCATTAGTTGCGGGGGCATTTTAGGTTCAATTGAACAACTCGTAGCAATTCTTTATTTCTATAACCACCGTTAAACTGACCTGATTTTAGTGGAAACCATTATTTCTGCATTATGTTGTTAGTCCAATTGCAGATACTATGGTCTTGAAGGTGAAAAAAAAAAAAAATTGGCATATATGAGTCTTAAAGGTTGTATAATTTATACGTGATCATTTTCGTACTTGCTTTTTATAGGGATGTGGACAAAAGAATTGTCTCTCTTCCAGAGATTCGAGAAACAGGAGAATATGTTGCAGAGCTAAAGCTCCATCCCGATGTTACAGCTCGAGTGAGGCTGACTGTGTTTGCTAATTAAGGGCCGACACTTACTGGAGCAACTCTCACCAGGCCCTAAATTTAATTTTCATGGTGGTAATTCATATTATTATTTTGAAAAAGAAATGGAACATTTAGGACCATGGTCAGTCTGCATACATAATGAAGGATGTTTTATTCTAGATTTCAACATTTTGCACTTCCTTTTACTTGTATTTATTTCCTGTACATTCCCCAGGATGAGCAAAAATGAAAAGGGAATGGGTTTCCTGAATATTTACTGGTCTTCATTTTTATAATACTGAGTTCTAAAGTGCATTGGCATATTTCACCTAGGGGAATACCTACATTTTTTTTTTTTCAATCCTAGTTCTAATGGAGGAAAACTAGGTCCTTAATTGGTTTTATTCTCATATTCTAGTTGCTTGCACTGAATTAGGTTTAGAGCTTCCTAGTAACTGTAGCAGCACTCAACTTGCATATTTGCTCATATAGATGCCTTAAAGGTAAATTTTACCATAGTATACAACTATTCAAACCAAGAGGAGAGGTAGATGGTTGGGACAGTGGCTGCGGGTGGCAAGTGTTGGAAGAAGGGCGGAAGGTTGAGGAAATGTGAATTGTCGATTGAGTCATGGTTAATGAAAATGGTTGTGTACTGACTCTAACTGCATCCCACATCACTAAGCTAAGGTTTGGTACGTGTGTTTATAACAAAGTTGGTCACCCTTCTCTTAGCTATCTGGTACTAACGGCGAGTTCAATTCAACGTGGGTCTTACCACTGGCATTAGAGCAATCATCTTTTTGGGATTACCCACGTTGCAGATAGAGCAATTTAGGGTAGGCACTTCCAGAAGAAAAATAGTTTCATGAGGTAAATGATTTTAATTGTATCCCACATTGTCACCCAGAACATGGTCCAGGGGTTTGGTCTACCTCAGTATCCCAAACAAAAGTTGACATTGTCACTGGGCAGCAGTTGATGTTTCAAACTAGACAAATGGATTCACATGTTCGAAGTCATATACTAGCTTATAGCTACAGACTACAAGCTTCGACTTTGCTAAGAAGCACTAGTCGAGCTCTTAGTCGCTCGAGGCACGTTAAGGTTAAGCTCTAGATTCAACTATAAGAGGTTGGTTGAGATCAATAAAACCAATCAGGTCTTTCCAAAAGTTCAACCTCATAAGGCAAACACGACCAATCCATTTTTTGCTTACATGTGCACATACGTAGTTGCATACTTGTATACTGCTAGAAGTTAGAAGAATTGATTTGGTGAAGCATAAAAATATTGTAAATGGATGTTCATTTTCAATTAGTTGAATAATTCATCTTTTAAAAATCCTTGTTGGCTGAGAAAGACCTGGCTTTTTTCTTGACTTAATAGTTACAAATAAATTTAAGCAAAAATGAAATTATTGTTGCCAGTAATCGAAGTTGAATCAGTAGCATACCTCAATGTTCTGGGTAGGAAAAGGCGGGGTATATGAAAAATTAAAAGTCAACTCAAATTCCTTTATTTATATTTATATTTTTTGTCATCGCCATCTTTAATATCTTATTACTTGCTTATTCCTTTTAATAATTAAAAGGAAAAAATCTCACTGGCCCACAAGAATATTTCCACCGTCAATATGACAAGAA